ACCCCCCCACTCCCATTTATTAACTAAATAAAAAAAAACAAATTTCTTTACTTACTCATCAGAACAAAACTAAAATACTAACTAAAGCCATAGTTTTTTACCATCCTTTCTCCTCCATATTTATTTAATTCGTTATTTATTCTTATATTTCAAGTTAAAATAATGTTGGTGCAAAAGGTGCAAAAGATTTAGGCACAGCAATAGCCTAGTGCAAGAATATCACAACTTTGACGCTAAATTTAGTGTAAAAATTTAATTTATTGATTGATAAACTAAATATTGATTATTTTAAGCTTTTGACTTAGTTATTAGCTAATTAATCCAGCTTGTCATTTATTAATTTGCTTATTTATTTATTTATTTACTTACTTACTAACCAAATAAAATATAACGAATTTCTTAACTTACTCATCACAATACAACTAAAATACTAACGAAATCGATAGTTTTTTACCATCCTTTCTCCTTCATATTTATTTATACATATATTTCAAGTTGGAATAATATTGGTGCAGAGGGTGCAAAAGATTTATGCACAAAAATAGCCCAGTGCAAGAATATCACAGCTTTGACGCTTGACTTATAGTAAAACTTTAATTTATTGATTGATAAACTAATAATTTATTATTTTAAGATTTTGAAGCTTGTGATTTACTAACTTGCTTGCCTATTTATTTACTTCTTTACTAATTAAATAAAATATAATAAATTTCTTTACTTAGTCCTCACAACACAACTAAAATACTAGCGAAAGCCATAGTTTTTTACCATCCTTTCTACACCATATTTATTTAATTCGTTATTTATTCTTATATTTCAAGTGAAAATAATATTGGTGATGAGGGGGCAAAATATTTAGGCATAGGAATAGCCTAGTGCAAGAATATCACAACTTTGACGCTAAATTTAGAGTAAAAATTTATAGATTGATAAACTAATAATTGATTATTTTAAGCTTTTGAAGCTTGTCATTTACAAACTTGCTTGCTTGCTTATTTATTTACTTACTTACTAATTAAAATATAACGAATTTCTTTACTTACTCATCACAATACAACTAAAATACTAACGGAAGCCATAGTTTTTTTACCTTCCATTCTCCTTATTTATTTAATTCTTAATTTTTTCTTATATTACAAGTGGGAATAAAATTGGTGATGAGGGTGCAAAAGATTTAGAAAAAGGGATAGCCTAGTGCTAGAATATCACAACTTTGACTATAAATTTAGAGTAAAAATTTAATTTATTGATTTATAAACTAATAATTGATTATTTTAAGCTTTTGACTTAGTTATTAGCTAATTAAGCTAGCTTGTCATTTACTAACTTGCTTATTTATTTAATTACTTACTAATTACATAAAATATAACGAATTTCTTTAGTTACTCATCACAAAACAACTAAAATACTTATAAAACCTTTCTTTTTTTATACTTAATTTTTATGTGCAAAATTTTTTGAATGACATTCTGTGCACTTAAAGCATAATTACCCTTTATTTATCATTACTAAATTTATTTAAAACATAATTGTTATATTCATAAAAACACAAATTAGTTTTCAATATTTATTTTAGTTATGAAAATAATTAAAAATTGTTAGTTATAATCTTAAAACTATTAAATAAACATCTATTCATTTAAAAATTTTTGATAGATTAAAATTTATTTGTTGAAATTATACCTTTTAATTTTAATTTTTTAATTTTAAAGTTTAGATTATAAAAAGTGTATTTAATTGAAGAATTCGCTAGAAAAATAATTATAAGCTAAGGTAAAATATAATTAGTTAAATTCATAAAAAGTTGATTTATTTAAACTAATAAAATAGATAACTATCAATTGACAATCAGCGAAAAGTTAAATATAACAAACCTGAACTTTAATAATTATATATTAAAAAGTTAAACTCTGCATAAATAAATATGTTTCATTAAAATATTTATTTTTTAATTTTGTTTTTTATAAATGTATTGATTATTAGATCATGATTATTATTTATAGTTAATTGATATCCTAATAACTTTGTTTAAATCCTAATCTGAAACATCTGAAAATATTTTATTTATAAAAATATGAGCTGATGTGATTAATAGATATAATTTATTAGAAATATTATTGAATCAATAGATTATTAATGTATTTAAGAATATATAAATGAATTTCTTTTATTCAATCAAATTATGAATACCATTAAAGCGAATTTACTAAGTAAGTGCTTATCAAAAATAAATTCTTATAAGTAAACAAATATTAAAAAAGAAAAGATTTAATGAGCTAAATTAAATTCATTCAATAAAATATAAAAATATATTTTAAATAAAAGATTCAATTTAAATTTTAAGTTAAATCAATGAAATAATTTAAGTAAATAATTTATTTATTGCGTTACAAATTTCATTAACAAAAAAAATAAATTAATAATTCAGATAAATGAATCCATTTTTACTAGTAATTATAAATTAGTGCCTAATAATATATTCCCTAAAATTAGAAGTATTTTCAAAGAATTCTTAATTAAAATAGAAAGGTATAATTTCTTTCATCTAATTAAATATTTGATAGTAAAAATTGTTTGGCTCAATATCAAATTTTTATGATCAGAAAATTTCAGATTTAATTAATTTAGAGCAAAGTAGATTTCCTATCTCAATTCTATTAAATATTATTCTTTCTTAAATCATTCTTTTAAAATGTTTCATTTTATCTTTGATTCTTTATATATTTTAATAAAAAATTTAGTAAACAAAAAATATTTTGATAAAAAAAATAGTTATTATTTATTATAGATATTAAATAGAATAATAAACGCTTTAAGTTAGACTTGGAATTGATTGATTTGATGTAATTGTATTTATTTGAAATCAAAATAAAATATTTAAAATAAATTTATAAATTCTAATTATCGTTATTTAATTTAAATACCGTAAATCCTCATAAATTCTCACCACCATAAATTTTCACCATATTTTCTGAATATTTATAAATATTCATAAACATTTTTAGGATTTTTTTAAAAAAAATATAATTCAAAGAGAAAAAATCTAATAAATATGTTTGTTGTTTTAGAAAATATTTATTATGAACTTTCTAAAAGGAAAAATGAAAATATTTATTGAC